ACCATTCCTCTTCAATTTGTCATTCCTGGCATAGTAAACAATGTGATTGTCAGATTCAAAATGGCCAATACCAGTCCATTTCAGCTCACTAATGCCTAAGATATCGATGTTTATGCGTTTCATTTCATTTTTGACACCTTCCAATTTTCCCAGATTCATACTTCGTACATTCCATGTTCTGATTTTCAAGGGATATTTACAGCTGTTTCTCTTCATTTTGAGTTGTGCCCCATCAGCAAATGAAGGTCCCGCGGGCTTTTCTCCTACAGGCTTTACTACTTTCGCGTTATCATGGTCAACTCTACTTTGAGGAGGCAGGTATTCTCCAGTTGCATTTTGAGTGCCTTCCAACCTGAGGAACTCATTTTCCAGCACTATACCTGACAGTGTTTTTCTGCAATTCATAAGGTTTTCAGTGACTAAAAATTCAGAAATAGTTCATCATTCTTTCTTCCTAGTTTGTCTTTATCTGGAAGCTCATCTGAAACGTGTCCACCATGGGTCACCCTGCTGGTTATTTAAAATACTGGTGGCATAGCTTTCAGAATCACAACAACATAGGATAAGATTATTGACCAAATGGTGGAATTTCAGTCAGAATAGAGGCGTAGGGAGACTCTTTCTGAGTAAGGGTATTTCTAACTACTCTGCTAACCACACACTGTGGGTCACCACCTCCTCTGCTTACATGCCTGGGTATCATCTGGCACCTGGTACCCTGCCCGGCCTATCCCTTACTTGATACTCATTTAGGTATTGCTGCTCCAAGAGGGCCAGCCTGCCCTTAAGCCTCTTCAGGTCCCCCATCTCATGGGCAAAGTCCTTCTTGTCTCGTCTCCACATGGCATCCTTCAAGAACCTGGTGCCAAGGTGGGGATGTGTTATCCCACAGTGACTGAGCTTCACGGGGATTTGGGAAAACTGCCAGTTACTAAGAGTCAGGGTGGGAGGGAGCTGCCAGAGAGGAGATGACCAAGATGACCCACCCCCAGTGCCCAGGACACGTTAAGAGAGGAACATGTCTGATGGCCATATCACGAGCCTTCTGCTGAGGAGCTAAGGGCCCTGGGAAATGGAGAGTGATGCTAAACCCAAAGGAATGAGGCCCTATGGAGAGGCCTTGGATTAATACCCTGGGCAGGAAGCTGCCTCTTAAGCCCACTTCTTCCTCAGCCCATAGAAGACAGGCCATCTGGCTTCCCAGACTCTTAAATGCTTAGCCTGGAATGAGCACCTTAGGGTGAGAGAGAAGGAGTGGGGTGGCAGACTGGGGTGGTTCTCACACCCTCACCGAGCACAAGTACGGTGGTTCCATATTTTGCAGAAGTCGATGGGTTTGCAGTCCATGACATCTTGGGCATGAACATTGGCACCATTCTCTACCAGGACCTTCAGACAATCCAACAGGCCCTCGCGGGCTGCCACATGCAGCGGGGTACAGCCATCTTGTGTTTGACTGTAGGGGGAAAAAAGAGGGAAGAAAGAAAGGACAAAAGGCATTTACCCACCAGATAGGTAGGTAAACCTACCTCCAACCCTGCTCTGCCACCTGCCCCCGCTGGGTGATCCTGATCACCATGTTCCTTTACCTCTATTGCCATTTACTTAACTCAAGAAAGAGAAATTGGACTAAATGAACAGTAAAAGTCTGGTTATAGGATGGCACCTGACAACAACAACAACAACAAGGACTTTAGTTGTTATGTGACAATTAACAACTGTTGGAAGGAGAGCTGGGTTGGTGTGAGCTCGCAGAATACTTAAGACACTCCTCAGCCAACCACTGCCTTGCCATGGCCCTTAGACCTGCACCATCTGGGCCTGCGTCTTCCTCCATCTCTTCCTCTGGCCTTGCCTCAGTCTTTCCCAATCTATGGCCTTTATGTAGTTAGTGTCTCCCTGGCTCTTTGCTGGCTTGTTTCACTCGCAGTCTTCAGGTCCTAATTTAAATGTCCCCTTCTTTGTTGCTTTTATTGTGGTGTGCTATCAAGTCGGTTCCGACTCATATGATCTTGTATAGTGTTTCGAGAGCAGCTGGTGGGTGTGAACTGCCAACCTTGTGGTTATCAGTCCAGGGCTTATCCTAGAGCACCACACCAGAGTTCATCCCTTTCTTGGAGGGTACAAAACAAGCCTACTGCCAGCCAGTTGATTCCAGTTCATGGGGTTGCTGTGAGTCAGAACCTACTCAGTAGCCCCTAGAAACAATGAGGATTTAGCAGTTCAGTGTTTGCCAGCAAGGCCAAAGCTAGGATGTGAACTAGATCTGTTTTCACCCAAAGCCCAATTCTGCCATGTGGGTGCATGGGCTACTTCATGTGGGACCTCAACAGCCTTTCTGCTTGTCCTGCATAGGCCTCCCTGCCTGCCTGCAAGAGGTATTGCCATCTGCCCAGTCTATTGGGTGGACTTACGCATTGATAGCTGCCTTTTTCCTGAGCAGATAGTGAATGCAGGGGACGACCATGGTCTTGTTGTCCCTGTGGATAACTAGGTGCAGAGGGGTCTGGCCACTGTTGGTGGGCTGGTTCACAGGAAACTTGTACTCCTCCACCAAGACCTGCAGACACGCAAGCTTGCACTGCTGGGCTGCAAAGTGGAGGGCAGTGAAGCCCTGTAGAGGCCAGAACAAGACAGGGGAAGGCTGAGCAGGAATTGCTGTCCACAGAGTCCACAGCCTAACCTATACTGGGCTCCTAGAAATGGCTCACTTTCCTCCCCCACCCCAGGTGTGTGCTCAGACGCTCATCCTAGTCGGTGACCCAAAGGCCTTTCCCTGACTTAAAGGTGAATTAGGATGATCTACATAAAAAAGTCCTGGTGTGTAGTGCTGTGGGTTAATGCGCCACACTGCAAAGCCATTTGAACTGCAAGGTAGGCAGGCAGTTCAGGCTCACCAGCTATTCCTCATAAACCCTATACTGGGTCGCTATGGGTCAGAATGAACTCGACAGTACTTAACAACAACAACACATAGAAAAGGCACTCCTGGTGTGGCGCTGTAGGATCAGTACAGTACTGTGAATTACAAAGTTGACAGTTCAAACACACCAGTTACTCCTTGGAAACCCTATACAGGGTCACTAGGAGTCAGAACCCACTCGATGGCACTTAACAACAATAACATAGAAAAGGGCATAATCACATCCCATCTGCAGGAGACTATATGAGAAGCTCTTTTGTAGGTGTGGCAGTGGAGGTGGGGATGGGAGGTTTGGGCCTTTCCCCCTCTCTCCAAGGACTTCCTTACCTTGCTGTCGGTGGGGATTTCTCCAGTTTTACGATTTAGACAGAATCGTAACCATTCTGCGTTGCCTACAGCGGCAGCGAATAACTCATAGTAGTTCCCAGGTGCCCTCTGATCGGACTCCTCATCAGGGCTAGAGTGGATGAAGGACAGGGGTTGAGTAAAGAATGGGCTGCTGGGTCTGGGGAACGGGAGGGGGCTTTGTGTGAATGGAGGGGGATGAGTCATGCGCTTGCTCGGGATGCTGGGGCGGCTCAGCAAAGGGCTTCAGCTGCGAAGGACTTCCCGCACAGCCAAGGGAAGTTACTTGTGTCCACATGGAGGCGAGGCCAGAGCTTCCTAGGCTGGAAGGCCAGGAGGAAGTGGTCGCAGAGGGCCCCACCCGCTTCCGTGGCTACTCGCACCTGCTCCCACCTGCCCCGGGCTCTGCCTTCCAGGAACACGGATGGAAGGATGCTGGATGACTGTCCCACGTCCCTGCCTGCACACGCGCAGCCGGGCTACCTTTCCTAGGCCCACCTGGACTGCCTGGAGACTGATTCACTCCAGGTGACCTTTGAGGGGGTTTTCACCATCCCTTGCATAGAGACCCGTGGAGATGGCCGGGATTGGGATCCCCGCCCGTTCCCCAACCGCCGGTGCCGCAGCGCCCCCGGAAGAGTCATTGGACTGCTGGAACTCTGTACACCGGCCACCTCCTCTCCTCAACCCGCCGTGGCCCCTCAGGCTTCTCTCCTCTGTAGCTGATCGCCCAACCTGGTGTCAGTGACGAACGGGCCCCTCCCTCTGACGTCTCTCCGGCCCCGCCCACCTTGACGACTGCTTCTGTGGACCCAACGTATCCCACCCTAACCATCCAAGCCCACTGGTCGTGGAAACTCACTGTCGAACACACGAACAACAAACAAACAAACAAAACATTTATCTTTTGTTTCGGATTATAAAAATAGCAAATGCCGATTGTTAAAAAACAGAAAAGTACCATGAAAAATCACAATCCCACCACCCACAGAAATCAGTTCTGTTGGATTATACTGGTACTTTTTATATGAATATATTCAGTTTGGTACAATGGATATTGTACAGTATGATGGACAATATGATTAACTAGCTCCAGTATAATTTTACACACTACACATACGCTATGATGTAATAATAGCCCCGTCATCATAACGGATTGCTGTAATTTCACACGTGCTGCAAAAACCCTAGTGGCTCATCACTGGTGATTTTCTTAGGATGGACTTTTGGAAGTAGAATGACTGAGTGAAAGCCTCAGCATTTTTTTTTTTAGCTATTGATAAAAAAGTAAAATGCAAACTCACTGCTGTGGAATGGATTCCTACTCAGGTAGCGATATCAGGGTTTCAGACGCAGTAGATCTTTGTGCCACATCTTTTCTCCTGGTGAAGTGACCGGTGGACTCAAACTTCCGACAAAGAGCTTAACCTGTGCCATCAGAGCTCCCTAGCAGTGGATCCACACTTCCTAATCGCCCTTTAGGAAAATTAGATACTCATTCATACTTCCACTTGCCATGACGGAAGCCAGTGTATCTTAGTTTCCATGTCAAGTCAAATTGGGATTATAGTATCTGCTTCACAAGGTGTGGAGCAGTCTAAGTGGTAAGAACCACGATAGAGTAGTGCTATGAATTCATTTTAAAAGGAGGAAATCTTAAACCATTCTAGCATTTGGTTTAGTATTGGTATTTAGTATAATTTTAAATCAGTGCCTACTTTTAATAATGAAGATGGTGCTTTGTTTTTCATTCAGCTCAAATTACCAGCAGGGGGTAAACATTAATTTTTATATTACTTTATTAAAAATTGTTGGTTGGTTATGTGCTGTGGAGTCAGAACTGACTCATAGCAACCCTGTACAGGGTATCCGAGGCTGTAAATCTTTACGGGAGCAGAAAGCCTCATCTTTCTCCTGTGGAACAGCTGGTAGTTTCGAACTGCTGACCTTGCAGTTCACAGCTCGATTCGTAACCACTACACTACCAGAGCGCCTTTACCCTCATATAGTATATTAAAAATTAGACAAATTTTAGTTTTGTTTATTTATTTTAATAAACATTTAATTTTTAATATAGTATATTTAAAATTAGGCAAATTTTAATTTTGTTTATTAATTTATTTACCTTCTGTGAGCTGTTTATTCACATTGTTCTTGGAGGGTCATAATGTGTTTCTCATTGATTTGTAAAACTGTTAACCCATTAGTAAAAGGAGCCCTGGTGTCCTATTAGTTAAAGGACTTTTTTTTTTAATTTAAGTTTTTATTGTGAATTGAGTGATAATTTACATGGGAGGACATCGGCTTTACATTCATCCTATTGTATTTCGTTTCGTTGAAATGATTTATAATCTCCTCCATTGCATGCATCATCATTCAACAGCATTTGCTTCCATTCACTCTAGTTTTTTTTTTTTTTGGATGTACACCGAAGCACTCAGGAATATATAATCATTCCAACGATCAAAGGGCATCTGCAAGCCTGTCCCCCCGCCCACACACACACACCCCGTCCCCCCCAGCCACCAGCACACAGCCCCTCTCCCTCCCTGAGTCTAGAGTCCCCAGCCACTCCATCTTTCCATGTTATTGTCTCTGCCTGCATCTCTGAAATCGCTGCTTCTCTGGATAGGGTCCCGCACTCCGCTCTGCTCCCTTGATGGTCCCAGGGTCCTCCGCTCCTGGACCGCAAGATCAACCACTCCTCTCGTTTTGTTACAAAAAGTTTACCTTTACATGTGCAACCCTCACAGTCAGTTAAAGGACTACTTTTTTAAGCTTGTAAAGATGACAGCCTTGGGAACCCTAGGGGCAGTTCTACTCTGTCTTACAGGGTTACTATGAGTCCGAAACAACTCGCTGGTAGTGGGTGTGGTTTGATTTTTTAAAGTCCTTTATTATGTGATATTTGTTGTCAGTATACTGTTGCCAATTTATTTGCCTAGTTTACCTTTGAACTTCTCACATCCTGAGCAGTAATGTTTGTTGAATCAATGTTTTTTTGTTGAACCACTTCTCAGGAGGATGACCCCAAGCTTATCAGAGAGGTACTGAGACCTCGGTGTCAGCTCTTGTCATGCCTGACCACACTGCCCTCTTCTCACCACTTTCTCCACTCTGCACCCCAACATTCAGGTATTTCCTCTGGGGAAAGCTAAGAAGGAGGGGAGAGGGTCTCTTACAACCACACTGACTTTCAAGGAGGACAAAACAGTTCAGATTCTCCACTTAAATGTGTCTCCTTTCCAGGAAAACCTCTCAGAGCTCACTTGTCCCCATTGTTCAGTGCTCAGCTTCCCTCCCAAGTGCCTAAAAAAACCCCAGCAGCTCATGCGCACAACAAACATGGTAAAGCCCATCCATGTGAAACTTGTCACTGCTGATTAGTAAATAAGCACAAGTAAGCCTGTGGTAACCAGGCTTATCTGGTCTGGGGCCTGTGCATTGGTATTTTAAAGAGTGACCCAGGGGATTCTCATGTTCAGGAAGGGTAGAGAGCCACTTTGAGGCATTCCTGCCTTAGTCTCCTTCCGGGGCAGACTAGAGGGTGCAGGTCCTGGGGACAAAAGGTTGCCCACCCTAAAGACCCTTTGGCCAGAGCCATGCAGCTGGGCAGGGATAACAGCACCTGGTAGAAAAACAGAACTGGACCCACTGGGAGAGCCTGGTAGGTGTGCTGAGTGGATTTTTTTTTTTCTTTAACTTTTTATTGTGAATTGAGTGGAAGTTTACAGAGCAGATCATCAGTCCCACATTCAATAAGTCATGCACTTCCTGTCACTTACACTGATTGCAGTCCCTTCTGTGTACCATCACGAGCAGTATTTGCCTTAATTCGATGAGTGGATTTTTGACTCATAGCAACCCCATGTGGCAGAGTAAAATTGCCATGGGAGAATACCAGTTTTATTTCGTTGCAATGATTTCAATCCCCTCCATGCATCATCATTCAACAGCATTTGCTTCCAATCCCTCTGGTTTTTTTTTTGGATGTAAGCACTCAGGAATATATAATCATTCAATACTCTGCACGCTAGCAACCACAGCCCCTCTCCCTCCTAGAGTCTAGAGTCCCCAGCTGCTCAGTTTCTCCATGTCATCATCTCTGCCTCCATCTCTGGAGGTGCTACTTCTCTGGATAGGGTCCCGCACTCTCCTCTTCTCCCTTGATGGTCCCAGGGTCCTCCGCACCCTGCAAGATCAACCACTCCCCTCCTTTTGTTACAAAAAGTCTACCTTTACATTTGCAACATTCACAATCAGTCCTGATAGCAATTATTCACTACTGAACTACAAGAGTCTTATCCCCGTCTCCTTCCACCAGTCCCATCTAGATAGGTTGGAAACCACTCAGTGGAGATTCTACCTTCCCCCACACCCTCTGAAACTAAGCTCCCTCTTGAAAACTTGTAAACCAGTCACTTCGTGCCTTTGTTGCCCCTTCCATTTTGGGTAGCCAATATCTAAGTTGCCCATCCCTGTCAACCCTGTATACAGAGGAGGTGGGAATGATCCTTGCTGTAAAGATTCGTTCCCTGTTTTAAGCTACTACATCCATAAGTATAGGTCAAGTTCATCAAATTGTAGTGGGTTACACTTTTTCCTTTTCTCTCTTCCTGTAGTCAAGTTCTGATCATCCAGCCATTGAAGCTAGGTCAAATGGTTACTAATTGCAAGTATGGGCATTCTTGTGCATCTACCCGCACTTCATATCAGCTGGATGCTTCACTCTCCCCTCTAGTGCTCTGTGGCTATGTCCCTGTCCATAAGCTCAGGAGTCCCCAGGTCTCGCTATACTGCTGGTCACCCAGGTCACGATCCAGGTTGATGGAAGTGTATTGAATGTGATTGGACTTAGCTCACAGCTTCATTGCTGTTTTTCCCCTACATCCTCAGCGTGGTCACCAGCAAGATTACATACCTGCTCATGTATTATCTTTTTTTTTCTTTTCTTTTCTTAAATGTTTTATTGTGAATTATGTGATAGTTTACATGGGAGAACATTAGTTTTACATTCATTCTATCATATATCGTCTCATTGCCATGGTTACAATCCCCTCCATGCAATCATTCCCCTGTACCCCCCAGGTCTTCAGCACACAGTCGCTTTCCCTCTTGGATCTAA